AAGCACACTCCATTATGAAGCCTTTAAACCTGGCTAGCAACTCCCACCTCCGGGCCAGGGGCTTGCTCTCAGGTGATGTATTCGTCCTTTCAGACCGCAGAGAACCCACCAAGTCACAGCCAAGAGGCTCTCTGGGTGACTTAGTGGCTTGCCTCCCTATCTGACAGAGGGCTCCTGAGCGCAATTAAACCAGAGTTGATCCCCCCGTAACCCTCGCTTGCAGAATACATTTCAAGTCTGGGTATTTACTTGACTCCACACCTGAGAGGTGGTTTGTAGCTGTGGCTAGGACACGCCTGGAGTCAGGCTGAGCTCTAGGTTCAATCCTACCCCCGGTGTCCTGGCCTGAGTGTGAACCTGTCCCACACTGCTGTCCGCATTGCCCTTCCCACCTGTACAACGGGGATGCCACTCCCTATGTCACAGTGGGATGGGAACCCTGTGCCCTGCATGCTCCAAGGATGTCCCCACTCTGTGTGTGTGAACGTGCCTGTGTGGTTGCATGTGGAGGCCAGAGGCTGACATCAGGGTATCTTTCCCAATTGTCTCTGCTCAGAGAGGTATGTCAGGGAGTATGACTCTCCTTGTGTACAGGTCACTTTCTCAGCCTAAACTTTCTCCAGTGTTTGCTTTATCAGTCTGACAGCGATGCATTTGCTGTGCAACACCAGGCTCTGACAACCCTCTCTGGTTCTGCCTTCCTGATATCTTGTCTACACACATGGGGAAGCACTGGCAGACCTGCCCATTCAGACACTTCAGGACCCAGGGAGTCCCTGGGATGAGGCTTGGATGGTGTGATAAGCCTCAAAATATGCCCAACTTGAAAGGGCTGGGCTCAAGAGCCAGGCGCAGGGCAGATGGTCAGGGATTCTATCTGCCAGGACTGGACAAGTGCTGCTGGGTGTAGCTGGGCTAGGTGACAGAGTTGCTTGGCTGTGGGCATCAGAAGCCGGGTCCTCAGTAAATGGCAGGCCGACTCATGGCCGGCTGTAGCTGGTCCCTGCAGGTACCTACTCCCCCCTTTCTCTTGACCTCCCTCGCTAACAGGATCTCAGACTTCAAAAGCCACCCCCATTCTCAGCTCTAAGGGTCCCTCCCTGTCCTTGAGAGACTGTGACCCCAGAAGCTGACCAGCCCCTCTGGGCCTTATAGTTTGCCCAGCTTTGTTCTAAGCTGAGGTTCACACTGTCCTTGCAAAAGAGCAAGACTCTCAGAATATAACCTCTCTTCCTCCCCTCCTCCTCCAGCACCAGGGTTCAATTTAGGGGAAGGCACTGCTGAGGCAAGGTGATGAGGAGTCTGAGGCTAGGCATGAACGTAACTCTGGGCCCAGGGAGGGGTGGAGCCCCAGGAACTCCCAGGGGCTGGGCTTTACCTTCCTTGGCTCACTGTCAGTAATGCTCAGCTATGCCCAGGTCACTGTTCAAAGGCTCCTGGACCAGACTGACAGACAGGAGAGGTGTAAAAGACAGAAGCCTATGGCGGGCAGGCAGGGCTGGGAAGGACGGGGAATGGTTTAGACTTCACCTGCTTGTCAGGACAGACAGACGGACACCGTGCAGATTCTGTCTGGCTCAGAGAAGCATCAAGAAAAGACGTAATAGGGCTTCCTAGAAAACACAGGTGACAGAGCTGTAGAGCCACCCCCACAGGGCTCCTGAAGCTGCTCTGCCCACCTCACGGCAGTGGAGGCTGCAGGACTCAGCAACCTCAGGACCAGGTTCCACCACCAATGTCTCCCTTGAGCCCTGCTTTCTTTCTGTCCTCCATAAAAAGCCCTAAGCACGCCTGTCCTAAACTGAAAGGACCAGCGCACCCACCCCAGAGACACCAGTGCAGGTGATGGAGAGGAAGGGGATTAACTACGTGCTCTCCCTGAATCATCTGTTTCAATCCTGTTAACAGCCCTGGAACTTAAGTACTATTATTGCCTCATTTTATAAATTAGTACTCCATGGTTGAGAGGGGTAAGTCGCTCGCCTGAGGTCACAGGGCTGGCAAATGGCAGAGTCAGGGCGGGAGACAGGTATGCGGGATTCTAGGTGGGCTCTGCAGCTTTGCTCACACTCTCCACACGGGGTATCCGTGCTGTTAAAATCCTTCACCACAGCAAGGGAGCACTGGGCACTGTTGTTATTTGAGAACCCACAGCAGGGCAGGGCTGTTCTGAGAAGCCGCTATTTCCTTCTCTGCCTCACGGCTGCAGGCTTCTGTGCTCAGACGACGAGGATTCTGACTGTCTGGTGGAACCAACCTAAAAGAGCCGGGGACTAATCTTCCCAAAGTCCACGTCTTCGCGGCGCCGTGTCAGTATTTGGGTTGGACATAGGCTTGTTATGGTAACGCAGATGAAGCCCCGGGTTTAGTAAGACTGAGACAACAGGGCAACACGAACCACAACAGGATATTGCAGGGAGATCTAGAAGCTTCCTCAGGCTTCTTACTGAGCAGGGCAAGGCTGGCCGGGCAGGGGCAGGGCCAGGGCAGGGCCAGGCGAGGGCGGGGTTACCTGGAGGCCAGCAGGGTTCAGGACTAAGGGGCAGTATTGAGGAGCAGGCTCCTCTCTCCACACCCAGGCTCCCTGGTATCCGATCAAGCAGAGGATCCACAGGCTAAATTTAAACCAGCTGCCAACACGGGGGTGTAGCAGTTAGATGGGGTGAGGGGAGCTTACCTCATGAAAGCTGTGGAAATGCTGCTGGGAAGATAATAAAAGGATTAACTGCTATTTTAGTGGGCCATTTACTCCTCAATCAAAACGTCTCATCTATTTCCTGTCCTCCAGAGGCCTCAGGTCCAAGATTCCTTTGTCTATTACAGACATAGTAGCACAGGCCTGTCATGAGAAATTAATAATTTTACAGGGATGGGAGCTGTTATTCACCTGGGTGTGGGCCGGGGTCTGCCCGTTGCCCTGGTTACCAACTCCACCAGCATAAGGGAGAGTTCACCCACTGTGGGCGTGGACAGGAGCAGCCTGGGGTGGGGCTCCACTGAGGTTCCCACTGGAAATGGCCGTACTGGACAGGGCCCCAGAGAAGCAGCTAAATTAACAAGGGCACCGTAATGGACAGGGATGTGGGTTCAATACCACTCCCGTGGTTTCCAGTGTTACAATTTTGGACAACTTGTTTTCATCATCACTATTGTCGTGATTCTTAGCCTCTGCTATCTTGCCTCTGATTAGTGGGGTGACCTTTGAGCCTCCATTTGCTCATCTATAAAGTGGGGGTGAACAGTTTCTATTCACAGAGCTGTGGTGAAGATCACATGAAGTTGCCTAAAATGTCATCATTGTGCTTCTAACCTGGAGGGGGTAAAGCCAAGAGTGTGGGAAGCTGGCCAGACCCATCTGACTCCGACCCCTGCTTTTCCGTATGTGAAAGCCCTGGGTTTCATAGTGCCCTGGCAAAGACTAAATGCATTCCCCCAGTAGACATCAACATCACCTCCAGGAAGCCCTCTGGGCTCCTCTCCCTGGGCCTCTTCAAACACCATCAAGGCCTGTCACAGCCTGATGGCCTGAAGACACATCCCTGAATGTGAGGTCCTTTAGAGCAAGGACTGTGACAGAACCAAGTCTAGGTCCCCAGTATCCTGTAGAGGCTGGAATCAGGTGGGAACCTTGACCAAGAGACACCCGGAGGATGCTTGGAGCAACCAGGCCCCCACACTGGGCCTCAAGGAAGGCCTAGGTTAGTTATCTCACGGGCACTCCTGGATGCTGGGATTCTGCACCGAGGGCCCCGGCATGAGAACGTGGCTGGCTACCTCAGGTTACTTCCAAGGTCCACACAGACACTGTGGGTTCCCAGCAGGAGGAAGACGTGACTGAAAACTGGGGCTCGGCGTCCTGGGAAAGACAGGCTGTTGCCAGCAGCCCTTGTCTATGGACTTGTTGATCTTCTCCATCTTTCATTAAGCCGTGTGTCTTAAGACCCCACATGGATGCGACATCTTTCGAGACTAGCTCAGCCATCAGCCCTCCCGCCTGCACACTCTCTGCCCCAAGTGAAACTCTCCACCAGCTCAGTGCCCTTCCCCCACACCTCTGTGCTATCCACCAGCTCACAAGCGCAGCCTCTACCTCCTCAAGGCTGCCCGTGTAGCCTAAGTACGAACTGACGACTCCTTATCCTTCAAGACTAGGACACACCCAGTCTATATCCAGCTCACAGTGTCACAAGCAGATGAGCCCTGAGGACAAGTATGGCCCCCAGAGAATGACTTTACACCACAGTTACCAACGCTTTCTACCTGACGCCCCACGAATGTCACCATGTGACCTGGAGCCCCTTCTAAGACCGGAAGTGAGGCTGGCAAGTGCACATCAGAAGAAACCACAGGCTGGAAGCACTATTACTGCCTGGCAGCTGAGAAGGGGAGACACGCATGGTCTGTGCTGTTAGTGTTGTGCAACAGCCTCGAACCCCAGCCCTTCATCCCCAGGCTGCTGCTTCGGGAGGGTAGAGGATGGGTATGGGGACTAAGATCCCGCCCCTAGCCTCTGATAAGGCTTTCCACTACAGCAAACATGGACGTGACCAGCCAGAAGGGTGAGAGGCCCGGGCGCCTGCTTCTAACCCATGTGTATCTGCATGAGTGCTCATGCACACACGCTTCTCCCCAAACCTTTGTGTCGACGCCAGCCCGAGCATTGCTGGCTCTGTGCAGGGCTTTACGATGGCCCTTGACCTTGGCTCCAAGCCTGCACTAGGGATCCAGTACCTCTCTTTAGAAGCCAGTGCTGTAGAAGTATACCAGGTAAAGGAGGACACACTTTCCACTTGACTCGCCATCTGCCACCCTTGGCTGACCGGGAAAAGACAAGTCTGGCCAGGCTTGCTTTAGGTTCAGAGGTCACGTGGCCCAGGCTGTGTGGCATGCTAAATTACATCTAATGCCCATCAAATGCTCCAGCGTCGGGGACAGGACACCTGACAAGGACGAGGAGGTCCTGCCAGGGTTCCCAGGGATAGGATCACGGATGGTCTTACCATGCACTTGTTGGGCTTCTCGCCCGAGTGCACCCTCATGTGGATGAGCAGCTTGTAGCGGGCGTTGAAGGGCTTGTAGCGGCGCACGCAGCCAGCCCAGAAGCAGGTGAAGTCTTCGCCCTTGCGTTGGTCGATGTGGTTCTTCTCGATGTGCCGCACCAGCTCCTCCTGCTGCTCGTAGGCCGCGCAACAGTCCACCCAGCGGCATGCCTGCCGCCCCACCGCCATCCTGCCGGCCAGGCCTAGCCCCAGGCCTCCAAGGCCGGGGCCGGCTGGCAACTGAGGCAGCGGGTAGGGGGGTGGCAAGCCCTGCTGGTGAGGAGCAAAGAGCTCTGAGAACTCGTCCATGGGTTCCTGCTTCAGGAAGCCTGACTTCCGGCATGCTTCAAGCTGCAAGCTGCCCTCATGGCCATCGCTGGGTGCAGGCGCAGGCCCAGGCTGTGATCGCTTGGGAGGGCCCCCCAGATCTCCTGGCAAAGGTGGGCTTCGGAGTCCATTTACACAGCTGACTAGAGCTGTTTGGGAGGAGTGGATGACGGGAGTGATGTCGGAGGACGCACAGGGTGAAGAGGAGGCTGAAGAGGCGGGGGGCAGGCCCAGGAGGCAGCAGTGTTTCAGGCTGCCCTCAGGGAGGTGGGCCTCAGGTTGGGGTCCGAGGCCCGAGATGGGTTCATTGCCCAGAAGGTAGCAGGAAGGGGCAGGGTTAGTGAGGCCTCGGCCTGGGAAGTCCAGCTCTGACTGCAGGCTTGTGGAAGACGGAGCCCGGCAGTGGGTGGGCAGGGGTGTGTGGGCGCTGGCCATGGCCTGATAGTCAGGCAGGGCTTCCTGCTTGATGTGTTGAGCTGCTGGGAGGCTGCCATTCACATACATAGCCTGAGGTCTGGGTGACCTGGAAGACAGGGACCAGAGTGATTATGAAGGGTAGCACTCTCCAGTGGTGAGGGTCAGGAGGGGCTCGTGGGACGCACGACAACAGAGACCTGGAGGGGTGCAGGGAGACAGAGCGTGTGAAAGACCAGAACTGGCGGTGCCAAGGGCAGGGGAGAGCTGGGAAGGGAAGAAGCAAGAGGAGGAAGAGGCCACTAGAGAGAGATGGAAGAGGCAGAGGAGGCTGAGCAGGGGACGGACGAGGACACCGGGAGGATGCAGCCCTTTGCCAGAGCCTGGACCATCTACTGCTTCTTGCTTGCCTCCCAGCGTCCCTGGGGCCAACCCTGACCCACCCCCTGACCTTCAAGCAAGCACTGTGGGCAAAAGGCTATGGCTAGCATTTGGGGGAGACTTCAGGTTCAGCAGCGTTTTTCAAGTCTAGAGTCTTAGCAGGGTGGCCCAGAATTCTGAGCATCATGTAGTAGCAAGCCAGGATCCTGGTTTCCACCTCCTGCGCAGAACTGGCCGCAAGCTCTCCTTGACTGGAGGCCCGAGGGAAAGGTCTGTCTCTTAGACGCTACTGACTGTGTCCACTGAGCTCTTTTCCCTCCCTGCATCTCCGCTGAGGAGCAAACGCGCATTCCATTCCCAGGGTGGGTGCACTGGGCCTGCCACAGCCAGCAGCAAGTTCTACTGAAAGAGTCAATGTGAAAGGAGGAGCTTTGTAAAACTTAGAGAAATGAAGCCATCGCTGCTGCTTAGCGGGGCACAATGCTGGATGAGGAAGGCTGGCAGACAAGGCAGGGGAAAGCACCAGGAGCTTTTACTAATGGGGTCAGGTCCATGAACTGACATCAGCTAAGAGGAATGGCTGCAGCATCTGGCTGTGTTAGGGACATGACTGACAGCAGTCGGAATGGCCTCTGTGGGAAGAATGGGAGGCTCCAGCCTGAAGTCTCACGGGTGTAGCAGGGTCTGGCTTTTTCTCTCTGTCTCTGGGTGGCCTGGCAGGTGGTTCTGGCTGCTCTACAATTCTCTCTAGAAACGGTGAGGCCAGAGCCCTGAGAACACAGTGGCTGAGAGCCAGATGCACTAGGCACCCCTCTGAGAGCTGACTCTATCCTAACAGTGGGGATGATGGATACTAAGTTCTACTTGGTACAGGAGCAAACCTTTAAAGGACGCACGTCACCTGTTTTATACAGGCTTGTCCCTGCAAAGCCATAGGTGATGGAGCAGGAGCAGACACCTGGGTCCTTATGAGACAGAGTCCCAGGACTGTGACAATGCCATTACTGGGAAGCCAGCATCCTACCTGTCAAATGACTTGGTGAGAACCATGCCGTTTCTTTAGGGCATCAACATCCTAAGTCAAGGGCATAAACCTTCTGATCATTGTCTTGGACTCTTTGCAGAGCTGCCAACTTGAGTAATCAGCTTTTGCAATAGAGGTGTGTTGGGCGAGGTCCTCACACCCAGGGGGCTCAGCTTCTGTGGCCTCAAAGCCTATAGCCTGGGCTGAGGCCTCGTCACTCAGTGCTGTGTGATGCTGAGAACACGGTGACTTTAAGTCCAGGCTCTGTCTTTGGGAAGCTGCCCCCCTGAGAGAGCATGGACATTCTGTGAGAAACACTGGAGTTCTAGTAAAACGAAGGGAGCCAGGGGGAGGAGCTTCGAAGGCCAAGGCCTTGCAAACATGCGGGCCCACTCAGCACAGAGCCAGAAGATCACAGAGGTAGCTGAGGGGGTGGAGGCTGGGGTCTGCCGCCGAGGCCTCCTGATTGACAAGAGGCCTCTTTACTGTGTGGTTCTCTTAGTACTTTATAGATTAAGAAAGGGGCTCTAAAGGCCAGTTATCTTTCCCAAAGTTTCCTGGGGAGCTAGTGACAGAAGTAAGAACATTCTACTGGCCATAGTGGGGGTGGGTAGGGCACCCATTTTAAGCACAGAAATGACAAAACTGGGATATTGCTAATGCTATTTAAACCTCCATACTGCTTCACAGGTAGATGTTACTGGACTGGTGACATAAGTCACACATCCTCCCTGCCTCAGTTTCTACTATGCCATTTGTGGGTTAAGGAGGTCAGTATCTACCCTATGACTCATAGTAGGCATTCCATGGCTGCCACTCGACAGCAGGGGGACCAGGGCCCTGGCCCCAGGACTGTGGGACCCAATGAGACAGTACTCACATGCAGCAGTCATTAACACGGGGAACTAGGCTGCAGGCGAGAGAACCAGCAGGCGACCACTGAAGAAACCCAGGTGGAAGAGTGAGGGTTAGAGACAGGGAGAGGCAACAGGATGCAGAGAGGCAGGACTAGGATTAGACATGGTCTAGAAAGGGGCCACGTTCTTTTAAAAAATGAGGTGATCTAAAAGTGTCAGCTCAAGATGGGCTTTGTGGTGCACGCCTTTAATCCCAGCACTCGGGAGGCAGAGGCAGGTAGATCTCTGTGAGTTCGAGGCCAGCCTGGTCTACAGATCGAGTACCAGGATAGGCTCCAAACAATACAGAGAAACCCCGTCTCGAAAAACCAAACCAAGCAACAGCAACAAAAAAGTGTCAGCTCAAATCCAGCCAATCCAGAGGTTGTATATCTGACACTAAGCCAGCAGAGTATTCTGGATACAGACTCTCCTGTGCCTTGATATTTAAAAAGACAAATGATGCTTCTGATTGTTTTTTAGCAAAATTAAAACAACAACCCACAATCACATCTTGGTTTGGCACAGTCTAACATAAAATTAATCTTCCCCTTCCCTACCCCCCCCAGGAACAATGCTTTCTGCCAGAGCCATGGTGATTAATCCAGGTAGCAGACACATGTGACTATTGCTAACTAGTGGGCAACTTGAAGCCTAAAAGATACTTATCCTGTTATAGGCTGGACTGGCCTCTCCCAATTTGTATGCTGGAAGCCTAACCTCCAGAGTACTTGCATTTGGAGACAAGGCCTTAAGGATGAAATTAAACTAATTGGAGTTACAAAGGCCCTTACTACAATATGTCTGATTCCCTTAGAAGATAGGAGCACAGACCCTAGAGATAAAGGGATAGCCACGTGACCGCTGTCAGCCAAGGGGACAGGTCAGGAGAAACCAAACCTATCAACCTTGATCTTGGAAGCCTCCCAGAACCGTGAGAAATAAATGTCTTTTACTTAAGCCACCCAGTCTATGACATTTATTATGACAGCCTGACCAAATGAATAAACCCTTTCAAAATAGAAGTGCCATGGATAGCAAAGAAGGCCACAGGGAATCGAAATTCTCCTATCTAGTGAGTCTCCCACTGCTCAGCACTCCTGGAATGGAGACCCTTGCCCCTACCCCCAAGGACTGCAGCACTGGCCCAACCCTTGGCACAGAGCATCACTACGTGGATGGTGAAGCAGCAGAGTGCACACCAGCATCGGGGCCGGTGTCCAGAGCCTCCTGCCTGTGAAGCAGGCTCCAGCCATGTTGCTCCTGGGGATCAACACTGTGCTGCCACAGAAACTTGCAAGTGGAGCCACCTCAGCTTGTGAAACAGGGACATGTACCTCATTTAAGTCATCTGTGTGTCCCTTAAGATCAACTGGCAAAGCAAGGAGGGCCTACACCAGGCACCTCTGTGTCAACAGACTTGGTCACATCCCTAGTTGTTTTGTGCCTCAGTTTCTCTGTGTGTCCCAGTAGCCGGGCAGACGAGGTAAGGTGGAGAGGAATGGACACATACCTGTTAGGGAGGGGGAAATGAAGCAGCCTCTCGCAGACAGGGGGATGACCCCGGGGCGGTGGGGTCCCTGCAGGGAGAAACAGACCCTGGTGGCAGGAGGGGCTGGGACCCTCGGCCAGGTCCAGGTCCAGCAGGCTCTTCTCTGAACAGTGCCCGTAGCTCCCGTTCACTAGGCAGAAACAACAGGAAAGAGGAGACAGGTGAGTGACCAGGGAGCTTGGGGAGAGGACAGCACCCTGAAGCCATCTGAACACCTTGCTGCATTTGAGGCTCGGGACACCTTATTTGACCCCCAGAGTCACTTGGCAGAACCTGTGACAAAAATCTTCAGAGGTGTGCATGCTAAGCTCCATTGCTTGAATGACTGTCAGCAAACAGCGAGTTCTGTGAATCAGACACTGTGAAACACTGGTGAGCCAAACCGAGGGTGCCTCGATGCCCGCAGACGGTTATCTGCAACCATCTCGGAGCAGGAACTCAGACCCGGGGCAGGGGTTTGGGTTCGGACTGCTGGACTTGGGGGTGCCATCCCAGGTCTGCCTCGGGTTGGACCGGTGATGCTGCACCAGTGGGCCCTGGAACTGGAGATGCTCTGGGCACGCGTGTCAAGGAGGGGTCTGTCCAACTTTATCTGGGGCCACCTGGTACCAAAGCCCCCTCTGTACTGCTCCCCAAATCACATCACACCACAGACAATATGGTTATTTGTGTCTCTGTGTCCTGTGGTTCTCCGATGGTCCGACTATGCTCTACACGCTACACTCCTGTCAAGGTTGGGAATGCCTTGATTGACCCTAAAAACCTTACAAAGGGAACGGAAATGTCAGACACGCTTGCTGTAAGCCTCTCTCATCACCCCTCAGCCACAGCTGCTCATCTATGGGCAAGGGCAGTTAATCTGGAAATTATGCCCTTTCACTTCCGGGGGTGGTGCTTTGGGTCCTGAGAATTATGGCATGAGCCTCTTCACTCCAACTCAGGCACACATCGATGTGTGTCTGACCCCTGCTCCTCTGGGTGCCATGGGCTGTACACTGTGCTAGCACCTACAGGAGCCCCAGGGATGGAGAGTACTCTTAGGTTATTTGTCACTTTGAAACCTTAAAATGCTCTAGGGTCATGACAAAATGTCACAAACAGCCCAAGTAGTCCAGGTACTGTCAGCCCTGAGCAAGAGAACAAGGAAATCCCTAAGCTAAGGACAAGGACAGCAACGAGGCCACTCATACAAGCCATGGGTTCCCCACTGCTTGCCAAGGCGTTATGAGTATTTTTACTTCTATTTAGTACACGGGGAAACTGAGGCTCATGCAAATTACACTGACCACTCAAGAACACATAGCTAGAAATCTGTGCTGGGCTCCTGTCCTGAGTCTGCCAGGCCCCAACGCCACAGCACGGCTTCTGTGTAATAAGAAGTGGCCTTCTAAGACAGGCACTCCAGTCCTAGCTGAGCTGAGACCATGTCGCCAACTCTCCCCATCTCTGAACACACAGGGTACAGATGAGAAGGCACGACTTTCAAGGCCCCGGGTTGGATGGGGGCTCGATATAACATATGTTTCATGCCATTTCCCTGGTGGCACTGGCCTGTCCTGCTGCGTGGACCGCTCGCTCTGCTGGATTCGGCGGCTGCCCAGCCAGCCCTTCTTAGGGTTATGCTTTAATAACTTGGTTGTTTTTTAATTAAAAAGAAATCCCTGGTAACAAATGTGAATGGTCTGAGTTAATGATAGCCGGCTGCAGCTCATTTAACTCCGGCTCTGCTTGGCCGTCCTGCCTTTTCCAGATCGTTTCTGCATGCAGTTTTATTGTCCCACTGAGGCAAACTCTGGGGCTGGCCTCCAAAAACTGTGGATAATTTTATAACCATTAATGGTATTTGGAGCAAAGAGCATCACAGGGGGCTGTTCTGCCAGGATCTCTCCCAGATCCTGGAGGTTAGGGTGGCTCTAAGCTTTCCTTCAGGACCTTCTGAGCCCTCCGGGTCGCACCTCCTCCTGCAGGCACAAGGCTGAGTGCGGAGAAGGGAGGTGGACTTGAGGAGCAGTGGTGACGGGCCTGGGAAGCAGTGGTGATGCTTTTAGTCAGCCCTTCCTCAAGCCTTGGTCCCCATCCAAGGGCAGGCTTGTGGCAGTTTTCCTCGTTTTTTCCAGCTGGGCTGAAGAGATGGAAGGCCTCTGACCAGGCTCAGGGACACAATTCAAGCCTAGACCTCTTGGACTTTGAGACCCAAGGGTTGTCCTATCCTGTCCCTCCCTTCCCTAGCAAGTGTCCCCAAACAGGACTTCAGTGAAAGCAGACAGAGTAAGGCTCACTGGTTTGCCAAGCTCACGCAGGAAAGATAGGCTGAGCTGATTAGAGTCATCAGCAACAAACAGTAGATCAATGGTTGGGCCTTTCAGCAGCTTCTCTGCTGGAGTCAGGAAGAGCTCTCCCTACAATAAACAAACAACTGACATTGGAAAGGAGGGGAGAGGCTCTGAGGTCAAAGCTGGCACTGGCTGGTGCCCCAAGCCTACTCAAGTCCTTGTCTCCTGTACTCCACCAGGTCCTGTGAGGAGATCTGACCTCAGAATGTGGCAGAGCTGTGTGCCGGAGCTCTGGGCACCCAAGGTCACATAGCAACCAAGAATGGACCCTACATGCTGGCTTTCTCCAAGCCCATGAAGCTCCTTGACAAATGGTGAGAAATCCTCCACAGTCAGGGCTGGAACTGACCATCTGTTCCGTCAGTATCTGAAGAAACAGGCTCTAAAACGTAAAGAACTTTGTGTGGCCTCACAGCACATTCACAGAAGAGCTTGGACTAGCGCTTCTGAAACCAGGTGAGAAACTGATCTGGTTTCCCAGTCTAGCCTCAGTTTCCTTGTCTGTACGATGGTGCCGCACCTACTTCATAGGGTTGTGGTGACAAGGGAGACGATGGAATTCATATGACGGGGACTTAGCTTATACTGAACACTCAAAGAGTAAGAATGATGCTAGTTACTTAGTCTGTGCTTCCTGGAGCTCAGGCAGGGCTCCTCAGGGCAGTCTACCTCCAGGCAGGCAAGGTCTAGATGGTCCAAAGTCAGACTCTGAAGGACAAACCCCCAGGCTTCAGGTTCCTCAAATGCAGGGCTCAGCAGCCTGAATTAAGCACCAATGAGCCAGTCTGAAGCAAGTGGCTCTCACTGTATAGCCAGAAGCTTTGTAAAGTTGCCATAATGCCTTGAGTATAAAGTAGACCCACACTCAAGGTGACTCCCACAGGAACATGGCTTCGTGACGAAACCTGCCGCCCTCAGCATCCAAGGCCCAGGGGAGCCTCCTGCAGAGACCATAAAAGCCTACATGGTTACTGACTTCTGCTTTCCAACAAGCACCACGCAGGGACAGGTTGCAACACTTCACAGTTCATAAAAACTCCACAGTCCTCAACTGTGAGTTTCACTGCAGCTCCCAGGAGCTGGCTAGGCAGGCCCAGAGCGGCATGTAAGCTGCTCAAGTCCACACAGCAAGTACAGGGCTTAGATGGGCCTGACTGACTTAGCTACCTAGTCAGCCACGTATTTCTTTAAAATGCAACCAATAGACAGCCAGCAACTGACTGGGGAGCCACGGCTACTCCACTTTGCCACAGAGGAACCCAAACAGCACTGGAGCGGGAGGGGCTGCACTTCCAGCAGGACTTCATTGGAAAGACAGGTCCCTGGCTCTTAGGATGTGATGCCTTGAATACGAAATGTCCCTCACAGGCCCATGTATTTTTGAACACTTGGTCCCCAGCCAGCACGGTACAGTTTTAGGAGGCTGTGAAACATTTGGGACAGGCTTTTGAGGGTTATAGTGAGGCCTGGCTTCTGGCCCATGCTCTCGGCTGCCATGATATGAATGAATGGCTGCCTCGTGCTCCTGACCCCTTGCCTTCAGAGTCATGGACTGAAACTGTCAACTGAAGCTTTAAACTTCCTTAAGTCTGTACGGGTATTTTATCACATGATAAGAAAGGCAACCACAGCGGACGGAGCCAGGGATTCAGTCTGGACCTGCTATACTTCCCTCCATCTACAAAGCGGGGGACATTTATGGGTGCCCTGACAGTGGGGAGACATTTATGGGTGCCCTGACAGTGGGGAGACATTTATGGGTGCCCTGACAGTGGGGAGACATTTATGGGTGCCCTGACAGTGGGGAGACAGTCAACCACTCCGAGCAGGGCTAGTCCTGGTGGGCACACTGGATGGGGCTCCAGCCCGGCTCTAGGGCCACAGCCTGGGCTCACCCATCCATCCGGGTGCTACCTCTCATTCTTACAACGCTTTGCTAAGGCATGCCCTTACCGGTCCTGAGCCCTGGAAGTCCCTCTCCTCCAGAACATTGCCTGGTCTCAGGCCTCCAGGAGCTCCTTGGCTCACAGAAACCCTGTGAGCAGCTGTGCACACAGCCCAGGCTGGTCCTTCACATCGCATCTCTATCCCCAGAGTTGGATCCCCCCCCCCCCCCCGCTGTGTTGCCATACTGACTTGTGGGAACACATAAAACTCTACCTCCTCCACATGCCCGCTATAGCCCCAGGACAAAGATCTTAGTCTCAGAACTGTTGTTAGCAGGCCTAGCTCCAGATGTGAACTGGCCCAACCTTCTCCACGCAGAAAACAGGGGCCCGGCTGCGGAGGTTTGCCCATCCTACCCATCAGCTGAGGATGTGTCCCTTCTCGGGCTCATAGTTAGGTTCACAGCAGGCAGCTGGAGATGCTGAGAGAGTAGATGTCTGTGAAATGTCAAGTTCACTCTCATGTCTACTCTGTGTAGTTTTGGGGAACTGAGCAACCTTGGCACACACACCCAAGATAAAGTCCAAGTCCACCATTGCCTTCCTGGATGTCTGACTCGGGGTGAGTGATCTTCCCCGCTAAGCCTCAGTTTTTTTCCTATGCAAAATGGGTTCAGAATCTCAGCTGCAGGGGTGGCTGCACACGTTAAAGGAGACAATGCATACAGAGCCCCTGGCACAGCTTCTGGCAGAGCCCGCATTCTGAAAAAGCCCCCTGTGTTTTGGTCTCTTGACAGGCATGAGGATTAACCCTGCTCTCCTGGGCAGTGACCACAAAAGGGCAGCCTCAGGCCAGGAGTGCCTTGCCCGCAGCCCTTCCCCAGGACTGTGAGTGACCACGGGCTCTGCTG